GAAAAATATGTATCTTATTTGTTTTGTGATTAAGTTATTGCTATGTGAAGAAAATAGGAAGATTTATCCCGTTCCGTGTATTTTATGAGAAAAAGGTCTGTAGTGGTTTTTCAGTTCCACTGAAACAAACAGAAATTTAATCCACATCACTAGCACCAAAGAAAACTTTTACCCAGAGGATGTTCATGAATAGTATTTGATAAATTGTTCCAGAATTAATCTTTCTTTAGAAATATAAAATTGATTGAAAGACCCTAAATAAACATTTTACACTTTTAATGTTAAAACTGAGTATACCCATACTACTTAACCATATAACCCACATAGTAAATTCATGCCTGCTGGAAGACAGCTGTTGTATTGCTGTTGTATTCCTAAAGTTCTCTTGAATCGCTTAATGATCTAATCCCGATTAGCTTACTACCTTTGTTGAGCAAGGTTCTGAAGAGGGTTGGTTATCCACTTCAAGGTCTATGAATTTGTTAAAAATAATGATATCCTATATGTTTTTCAATCGGGTACATATTCTACTAGACTTTTCTCGAGCTTTTGATTGTGTGGATCATTCACTAAATTGCAATACTTTGGACTCTCTGACGGTCCACTGGCCTTCTTTTGCAACTAGTTGCAAAATATAAGACCCGTTGATAGGACGACAGCTGCTGTGTCGAATGTTTGATGAGGTCAAAGCAGATACTAAGTTCGATTTGCAGAAGGTTTTTACTTATAGGGAAAGGCATGCTTTAAGGTTAAATGCGGCAAAAACTCAGTTGCTACTCTTTACTCGTCACTCTGCAACGCACTTCCTGAAAAGATACTTGCATCTTGTGATAAATGGGGAACCCTTGACGTTTGCTTCCAAGGCCAAAAATTTAGGGGTAACGGTGGACGTATCATTAAGATTTAGTGAGCACATTTCAAAAAATTTAAGTTAAAGTATTGAACTTTAAAGTTAGGAAAAATTATGTTTTACCCATATTTAACACTCCTTGAACATCAACCCCTTCAAAAAATACAAAGCCACTGTCGAAGGTTTGTGAATGATTTAAGGAAATATGACCACGTCTCCCTAAAATTAAATTGTTGCAGTGGTTGATAATAGACAATTTATTTGAGTACCTATTCGCTGTGTTAATATACAAGATCATAAAGTCTTATTTAAAAGATAAGCTGGTTTTTCGCTGTGAAAGCCACAATGTAAATGTTAAGGAGAATACGCGGACTGCACCTCAATACGGATCTGCTCTTTACTAGCGCAGGTTTACTTGTAATGCGGCATAGAGCTTTCTGTGCCTTATCATCTTTAAAACTATTTCGAAAGAACATTAAAATCGTGTTATTAGATAAATAAGGTGGTGATTGGGTTTTTCGCCTTTTAATTATTCACAGAATTCTAACTGTTTTTTTTTTCTCTTGTTTAAATTTTATTTTTCTTTACTACGGGTTCTCTTGTTACCAATTGTATTGTCAAAAAGGTGTATGATATATAGAATAATGGTGTTGGGTTGATGTTGAGTAGCTGACTTAGTCAGCTAGACTCTGCCCTTTGAGATTTTATTATTGTATATTATCCATTACGTATATTATGCATCTCAATTCTCAATAAAGACTATTATTATTATTATTTATTACTATTATTATTATTATTATTATTTATTATTATTATTATTATTATTATTGTTATTAATTATTAAATTCAAAATAATTATGCTATTTACAAAACTTGTGAATTCTCTCTGCGTCTGTTGTTGAATCGAACTTGCTGACGTTTCGCCAATCAGAGCTTAATTGAGACTGCTCTGATGATTGGCTAAACGTCGGCAAGTTCGACTCAACAACCTACGCAGGAAGAATCCAGAAGTTTGTAAATAGTATTACAGTAACCTGTGAAAGTTTCTTTGAGAAACAAAATTATGGTCTAAAAAAAAACTATTAAATTATATATTAAATTCTATTACATGATTAGTTCATTCCGAGTAAGAATATTATCTACTATATTTATTATATCGACAGTGGGAATCATCGGAACTAGATTTTGAACTGGATTAGGGGAGATTTTAATGTTAAAAAGATAGTACTGTGATGTTCCGCAGTAAATAATTTGTCTATCTAGCTTGTTATTTTTTAAACCCTAGTTCAGTGTTAAACACTGGACCCGGTGGGCTCCGATAGCCCCAAAATAAACTTGCGTCATTTATAAAACTCCTCGCTAGTTAATTAATGAAAATCCTCAATGTGTTTAATTTAAACGTTCGATGTGAAAAATAAATTAGACGGATTTCATAGTTACAGTTTTCGAATACATCACCCGATGGATCTTTGGAAATGAAGTGCCGCATTGTTTTAAAAGGGAAAACTCCCCTGGTAGATAGAACCTGTCTGATCGATTGAGTGAATTAAAATATCCCCTAAATCTAAGTAGGTATGCGTTGCGTGTAATGTATTGTTTTGGGGTTAATATTTTACATTGTACTTTGCTCGGCACGAGGGACATTGTATATTTATAGAGGTGCTCTATTGCTTTATATTCGCCACAACCCTACGGCAATAAAGATATTATGATCCGCAGGCAAAATATGGTTAAGAGCGGGCAATAAAATAGGATACTATACTCAGTTTATAAAGCATGTTAACGATAATACCAGAAAATATTAACCGCAAGTTTGTGGATCATTATTATTGTTTTTATCTCTCTCTGTCTCTCAGGATCAAATAAATTTTTCATAATGGCCAAAACTTTGTCATTTTCTGATTACTTTCATTTTGGCCTATCGCGAAGTCTCACAGACATACATTAAAGACAAAGCAATGCAAAAAATAGTAGCAGGAATCTCTTAAAATCTTAAAAATATTTCAAAAAATCCAAATCGATTGTCAAAACAAGAATCTTATATGATACGGGTCGGTTTGCCGTAAATTAAAAGGAATAAGATACGAGTACAAGGAGCTGTACAATGCCCAAAACGTTTGACAAAGAGATAAGTGCAACTCCGCTCGTTTCTATGACGTAGCATTTACTTTGCATATTGTCTCCAGTATCTTATTAAATTTAAAATAAGAAAAGTCAATGCAATAAGAGTTAAGTTGGTCTGAATTTATACACTTTTTAAAATGAGCATTTTACAATAAATGTCTTCTTCAACTTAGAAAATGTTCAGAAATGCAAATATATTTGTCACACCACACTATGTTACCCATACTCTACACATCACAGTTGACCTTTCATCTTAGACAAGCATCTGCCCATTTATAAGCTGATGATACTCAATTCTACGTTTTGTTTCGTCCAGATATCATTCATGGGATATATAACTGGTTAAATAGTCATCTGGATCGCTTTCTTAAGGCGGGTCATATTAGCAACTGCGTGGAAGAAGCATTTGCATTAAAGTGAATTTGAATTTGATCAATAGTAATTTTTAAAAATCATTATGTAGATGATAGTTTAGTCTTATCGCAGTTTAATCGTATGATACTGCGTTCAGTCTTTTGCATCTGGAGCGTGATGCAAAGGTTATACAGAATTGTTGTGTACGTTCGATTGGGGGTATCAGGGGTAAACAATGCCTGGAAGCTGCAGGTTTGGAACCAGGCCTACGTTTGAATAGCTCCAAATGCTGTTTGATGATTGTGGATAGACCTCAGGCAATCCCAATACCACTTCGATACATCCATGATATAAAAACCAGGGACACTGTCATCTATCTTGGGGCCAAATTAACTAGCAAAGGAGGCTCCGAGACAGAGATCAAGAGAAGGATTGGGATGTCAAAAGAAGCTTTGGGTGGACTGACTAAAATCTGGAAAGACCACAACATGCAGAAAATGACAAGATGAAACTTCTCAAAGCGCTAATATTCTCCATCGACGCTTATGGGTCGGAATTTTACATATTATATAGAATAGAACCGTTTGAAATGATATACTACCGCAGGATGTTAAGGATCCCTTGGACGGCGCGAACATTTCTATATGCAGTGAACTAAATATTCTGGATCATGAAAGGCTGTATTCGTATTCTAAAGTACTTTGATGACAATTTTGACTTGCACATTGTATCGTATTCCCCTCATAAAACGTCATTCTTTATGAGATCGTTTTCGGGTCAGGTCTTCTTCTTTTATTATATACTCAATTTTATATAAATAAATAAATATCGTTTTTCTCTTCTTTTGTATTGCTTTACTTTTTAGTTTGTATATTGTACGGGACTAACTGTTAAATCTTACTGAGCAATTTCCACCCACCACATCAATCAATCAACAGTTAATTTGCGATCCTGAATAAACGATTTTTTACTCGTCGAGTAAATTGGTGAATGTGAACGCTCTTCATTTATCCAAATAGTATAGATCTACATGGAATTGTTGAAGTTTTAGGAATCGCAGCCCCGTCGCTTTAACTCTTTTAAATATCCTCAATTGAACGAAGCATTGTAAAAGGAGAGTTGCTAATATATTCCTAAAAATCGGGGAACATTTGGTAGCTTCTTGCATGTGCATTTTTAGAAACTCCTTAAGGGTGATAAGAAACAAGTTTTGATCCCATTTAAAGCGAAAAAAATTAATCCATGTTCATTAGAATTTCTTTAAAATTTTATGGATAAGTAGGGTAATAAAATTACATATTCAGAACGGCGAAGTCTTAGAGTGAATTATTTTTAATCTGTTTTAATCTTCTCCTGAAGATGCCAACTTGGTTGGCGAAACGCGCGTCGAGTACGTAAAATTGAGTTTCGGTTTGTGGTAAAACGCGTTATTGAGTGTTAGTGCAGTGCCGAAGGTTCCAGTCAAGAGTTTGATTATCATTATTATCATTATTATCAGTATTATTATTATTATCATTATTCTATTAAAATACTACCACATTGGCACATACAGCAAGTACTTATGAAACACCCTGTATATGAAATATATTCATATATGGCACTATCTAGAGTAAAAATTAGTTAAATTAGTGAAATTGCGGTTTGTAAATAAAAACGTGGTAATCAAACTTACCGCTGGAAGAGCAAAGAATGAAATCGCGAAAACGCTGAAGCAGGAAGCCACAATTTTTCCCATCCAGGTTCGTGGTACAGTGTCCCCGTAGCCTATCGTGGTCACCGTAATCACGCCCCACCAGAGGGCGTCCGCGTAGCTCGCAAATCCTCCCGTGTTTTTTCCATCGGGTCCAACTGCATCTTTTTCGGCCAAGTAAACGAAATAACTACTAAAAATGAGGCCCAGGAATCCGATGTAGAGGGTAGTTATCAACTCCTAGAAAAAAAAATTATAAATGCACAAATCAATTATTGAAATGAATCGATATTAGATTGCATCCTCAAAAGTTTATTTTAGGTGTATTATTTTTATTGCCTTCATATCCAAGAGACGTCTGTATGTAGATGATTTGTCTAAAAATCTGTAAGTACTTCATTTTTAAAGATAAAGGATTCAATTTAGATTTTTCAACGATGAAATTTTGCAGAAACAATACAATTGTTATGAAAATTCCCACTTCCCATTTTACCATAACGTTCGCATAGTTTTTACCGCTATGATCCCAAGACGCCGATTTCAAATAAACCTGACCCAATTTACAAATTTCGGGTATAATTACTACCGAGTTTGTATTTGCCTGTCAGGAAAATGATAAATCGATGCCGGAAAAATAACAATGCTTTATAAAACACCTTACAATTGAAGTTGTCTGGTTCAATTTGTGTAATTACGTACCTATTAACTTCACTTCCACGGTCAAATTCAAAAATATTTAGACGCTCGGGCAAAGGCTTTATCACTTTTCCTGAAATGTCGCATATTATTTTATTTCTTTTAATTATAAACTTGTGTAAGCGACTTTATTTGCAAAAAAAACTGTTATCCAATAAAACAAGCTGTCTATTGAAACAAAAGAAGAGAGAAGAACTCTTTCTTACCTGCCGATGTATGAAAACCACAGATCCCAACAATCGCCATGTCCCTCCTTGCCTATCGACGTGAAGCATGCGGAGAATTTGAAGAAATCGTATCCCTCTAATAGCTGAGGTAGCGAACACTTGTCCATTCGAACCCACAGTTAAAACGACGATAGAAGCCACCACTACTATTAAATCTGGACGGAAACAGAAAAAAAAATAGAACGCTAGGTATTAAAATTAAAGCACCATTAAAATTTGTGTGGGTCAACTTCAACGTTAATTCATAACGAACTGCTTACTGAGTTTGGATATACATATTCTTTAATTGTAGCTCAGACCTTTAGAAATGATGTTAATGAAAAACAATTTCATTAAGTTTTAAGTATGTACGGAGTTTTTAAAGAAAACATACTCATCACATTCTGTGGGCACTTCTGTCAACACTATTAGGAGCCTGTCTAGGTCAATGGTCTTATTCTTTTTCAGCATCTTAATCTTAGTTATTAAATGAAATGCGGGTAACTTTGACAGACTGTAAAAGGAGTCTTATGATGTGAAACCATATACTGCAAGAATAGTAGTAGCAGTTGATTATTGAAATGATGAATGATATTGAAACCTTGGACTGGCCTTCACGCAATCCAGACCTTAACCCAATAGAACTGCTCACTTGGATGAGGCTAATGTCGATCAGGTACAAATTAGACGTCCGATGAGTCCATGTTAATCGGTTATAAGGAGTAGCGAAAGAAACACAATTACATAAAATATATCCAAATCGAGCTAACAGTTCGCAGGAAAATGAACTTTGATCAATGTTGATGCAAAGTTTGAACGGATAATGGACCCCTACCTATAATACAAATCGGCTTTCTAATAAATCTAAGACGGCCCCAGAAACCCATATATTTTGACCTACAACCAGCAGACCATAACCGGACGATGTATTCGACTCCGAAAAATACAACCAGACAGATTTCCTGTAACAAAAATTAATTAAAGGTGCTCATATTCCAAACGCAGATACTCGTACAGTTTAATTTGAGGCAAACGGAGCCGTAGCTTTGTATTCCGTTTCCGGATTTTTTAAATTTCCTTCAATTAGAGTAACGATTTTTAATTGGCTATGTTTCGAGGAAAACATGTATTAGTTACTGATACCGATACGAGTGCATATTGCTAATTGACATTCATTCGGTCTTTGTATTAGTCCACGTTTTTCCCGAGTCAAAGGTTTATATATGCCTGTTATAACCTTACCGTTGGTTTTTCAATGAAATATGTTCTCCATAATAGAGAAGATTTTCCATTTTTCATACACGATCTATAATTAGCTATTTTCAAATACGTTTTTAGTCATTTTTTTAAGGAGTACAGAAGCAACCAGAAAAATAATTTTCAACTTCCAGCTCAGTAAAAACTATTTTTAAATCAAAATGACATTTTCCCACTTAAAAATTACAGCTTTTTTTATTTTCATTTAAGGCTAGTTTGAATTGCTTTCCATACTAACGAAAGAAATATTGATATCGACATCGGTTTTCTGAAACGGTGTTTGAAGTCGGCCTTAAAAGTAAAGCCGTAAATGCCGTGACAATAACTAAAACTGACGGAAATCATTTTTAAGTTTCCGGAATGGCCCCCAGGGGGCGTAAACGAATTTTAAATCCCGTTTTTTTGCGAAATAATCTTATATTACAGATGGATAAAACGAGCAACGTTGTAAAGTTGGGATAAATTCTGTTCTTTTTAGTTAAATTTCGCTTTTATTGCAACTGGAGTCTAATACTCTAGTAAAAGCCGCATGTTATTTTAGTAAAGCTCTGAAGAAGTCAACAGGGTGATTGGAGAAACGTGAGTAAGGTCGATTCACCAACAACCGACGTATTAGCAATCCAGAAGATTTGTAAATAGTATTACAGTACCCTGTGGAAGTTTCTTTAAAAACAAAGAAATAACAACTCTAAATAATACCGCATCTTTAGGAATATTTTCAGTATACCTGTCATTATTAAATCCTAATTTCGGAGGAAAAATTTACTGCAAAAGTATATTTAAAATCTAAATAGTAATAAAAAGTAATTTAATGTGATTAACTATTGTCCTACAAGAAATTCGAATTTTTTTTAAATCAAATTGCACCAGCATTCTGCACTACATTGCAAATATTTTATGATGCTATCTGTAATATGGTTTTTCATTATTGTAATCTATTATAACTGTATTGTATTGCAATATTAAATCATATGGGAATGACTGACATTTTAAATATAATGTTAGCCTTTTGTTATTAAATTTTAATATATTGTGCTGGAAGAACGAAAATCCGCTCAGAGCGGCGTTGATACTCAAAGAGGAGCCCTTTTGAACTACTCCAAATTTGAAATAATGCGTTCAACTATTCTGAAATTATTGACATTTATTTCCGAAAATGTTCGGTGGTCGGTGTTCATTTTAGTAATATAGGATTATTTTTCAGTAAACGGGATTTAAAAATCAAGAATTCGAATTTCAAATCAACTAGACAAAAAATTTTAGGTCATATGCTTTTTTCTGAGCAATTTTTTTAAAATAAATTTTTGGAATCCGATTAGAAACTAATTAAAACTTTGGTCTTGCCTTCCAGTTTTTGAAAATATTTTGCATTAATTTCTAAACTTTCTAATGATGTTTAGATTGAAGAAATACTTAGCTCGAATTTGATATAAACGAGTTGAAACCTAATTTATTTTCTTATATTACCTTACGCTTTTATCGATCGCATTGAACATTGACAAATGCGCGAGTTTTTCAAATTCAAGTTAACTCGCTACAATGGTTTTCATTTTAGTAGTAATTTAACGATGTTCGATCGCAGATGTCGAAAAGTAAAGAGAATAATTGAGAAGTTCTTGGACGAGTGGAACTTTTAACGGAATGAGTGTACTCCTACTAAATTAAATAAGTTGTTGGCCGAAAATTGCATTTTTAAAATTGTTCTGTTCACTTTTCATGTTTTGTTAATTTTTAACCCTTTCAAGACGGTTGAAATATATATTTGACAGTTGAAAAATTGCCTCACAGACGGGTGACCGATATGTAGGTCAGGCATTTTTTAGGATTTTAAAACGTCTGTATGATAAATCAGGCAGGATTGAAAAATTAAATTGGCAGTGGTCCGACTGACGATATATCATGACTGGAAAATTTGGCATATGGACTAGCGGCCACTGTCCGATATATACACACTCAACATCGTGCATCTGTCAAACATCTCAAAAATCTGACAAGACGTGTTTGAAAGTGTTTTGGTCGCATTCAAAATGTCGTGCGTAGAAGCAAAATAAATAATAACGCTACACGCGATTATTGCGGACTAACAGACGCAGAAGTAAGAAGTCTCAAACAATTGATAGTGAAGAGGACTTATTGATAGTGGTAGTGAATATTTGCCAAGTGATGTTGGCGGTGGAGGAAGCAGTTCTGCAGAAGATATTGATGAAGAATTGCAAGATGTAAGTTTAGAGAGTCATAATGATACCTCAAACGAAAACATTCACCAAGGACTATAGTGACCTACATATTAACTGGACAAAAAAGAACTTTGTGCCTAAGTTGCATGAATTTGATGACAGATAGAGTGGAGTAAAGGACATGACATTGAGAGAAGACTCACCAGAAATAGATTATTTTTTGAATCTTTTTACTGAAGATACAGCTCGAAAATTCTTGATTTAGATGAGTTTTTGACATTTCTTGGATTGACTATGATCATGAGTAGAAATAGAAGACTTGAAAAACATTGGTCAACGGATCCTCTTTTATACTCTCCAGTCTTTAGCCAAAAAATGGTAAGAGACAGATACTTACAAATTCTAAAAAACTTGCATTTTTCAAACAACGAGAATGCTAAAACTGGTGATAGATTGCATAAAGTAAGAGAAGTGTTGGAACAAATAAAGCAAAGGTTTCAATCACAATTCTATCCTTTTGAAAACCTAGTGATTGATGAAAATATAATACTGTTTAAAGGAAGACTTCTTTTTAAGCAATACATAAGAAATAAGCGCCACAGATTTGGTATAAATCTGTAGAGTCTTATATGACTGTAAAACAGGATTCATTCTTGAGTTTATTGTCTATATTGGTAAGGATACATATAATTCAGAAGAAAATATTACAGGATTAAGAGTCACTGATAATATTGTAGCTCAGCTAATCAAACCGTATCTAAACCAAGGTCACTCCCTGTTTACAGATAATTTATATAGCAGTCCGACCTTATCATATTTTCTTCAAAAAAAAAACAAATTCTTGTGGGACTGTTAGCCCTAAAAGATTTCACATGCCGATTCTAAAAGAAAAATTAGGAAAAGATGAAGTAGACTGGAGAAGTGCGGGTATCTGCCTGGTTTTGAGGTGGGAAGGCAAGAGAGACGTGATGATGATAACAACAATGCACAAAAACAAAATGGTTACACTTGATAAAATTGACAATGCCACCGAAGAGCCCTTGAAGAAGTCGGAATGTGTGGTTAACTATAATAAACATATGGAAGCAGTAGACCGTTCGGATATGATGATGAGCAGCATTGATTGTATGCGGAAGACCATAAAATGGTACAAGAAAGTATTCTGTCATACAATGGATATTGCCCAGTGCCGACTGCTCAGTTCAACAAAATCTTCTACATCGAATTTTCAAAAGGTTTGTATAATTTTTTTGGCTATTATTCGCACATATTGTTGATTTTTTGAAGTTCTTCTGTTTAATGGCGTTAATTTTTATTGTTGCAAATGCAAATCCATTGCCGATGAGCCCACTTCCATTTCTGCAACTGCTGATATGGCTAGACTGCAGAACAGACATTTCCTCACATTAGTTCCCTCAACTGAAAAGAAAAAAACCGCCTCTATGCTCACATACAACATATCAAAGGAAAAACAAAGAAAAGTTTCCAGATATATGTGTAAGGAATGTGACAAAGGCTTGTGTTACCAGATCTACACACAAAGGACAAATTCTAACAAATACTTTAGGCATATTTTCATATTTTGATTTAAGAATATTTTGTGTAAGTTCATTTATATCTTTTAATACTTTTCAAAAGTTTGCTAGTAAAAACCATATATTTTAAATTAATATAAAGTTATTTGATTAAAAAAAGGATTTTTTTGCGTTTTTCCTGAAAGAGTTAACCAAAAAACCAGCACATTTTTTATATACATTTGATATCTTGCTACTTTCTAAGAATTGATTTCTATATGATTTTGCTTTCAAATGGCATAAAAAAATAAGCAATATACTTTCACATGTCCTGATTTTTGAAATTTATGGTTATTGCATAGTATAGATGTTATGTGGTCAGAATGTTTCATACAGTGAATGTACAATTTGGCTTGAATTTATTTAACAAAAATTTCTTTTGCAAAAACTGAATGAATTGTTTATGTTTCGCTTTAACAATATCCAGTAGTATAATTAAAATTCCTTAAAAAAATGTATCAACTTCTATCCGGACATTTTATGGCTAAATGAGTGGTAAAATTTAAACCAAACTATACCTAGTTCTTAAGCAACGCTTTCAACAAAAACGAGGCTGAAATTACTGTTATAGAAAATACCATTCTATAACCTCACGTAAAATCTACTTTACTTAATTTCTTACGTAAACAATAATAAAATAAAGCGCACGTTATGTGCAATTTTGCACAACCCAAACCGATTTTTGTGCACATTTCTTATATAAAAATCTTTTTAATGGGGGTAAACTTGATGTTTCCACCATCACCGGAAGAGAGATTTCTGCTCTCTCGCAATATATTTTTTGAATTTTGCGCAAGTTTGCACACCCAACTCGAAATTTTGGCTACTCTAATACTATTTTCAAATCTTGTTTATTGGTTATTTATAAATCGAACTTGCTGACGCTTTGCCAATCATCCTGTTGACTGCTTCAGAGTTTTCAGTTTCAGTTAAGCTGTGAAGAAACCAACAGGCTTGCAAAATGTCCCCTTCGGCCTCAACCAAAATAAAACTTTTTCATACCGTTAGAATCTCTGAACTTGGTTGGAAAAGAGGGAGGGGGGTGGCGGAAATTTTGAATTTATAAATTGAATTAAATTTATTTAATTTAATGTTATTATTTATTATATTAATCAATTTATAATTAAATTTATTAAATTTAATTGAATTTAATATTGGTTGTACAAAATTCTGAGAGTGTAATGGTACTCGAAAGTTTTATTTATGGTTGGCTTGTGCGCATTATTTTCATTTTAATCTTGTCTATGCTGATATCCAAGATGTATGAAGGAAGGGGGGGACTTGACGGAGCCCTAATATTTTGTGAACACAGACGAAAATGAAAAACATTAAACCAAATCTGTAGTTAGTACCCGTGTATCAAAAAGCACTATAGGTTTGTTTGTTTTTGAATATAACAAACCAGGTAAAAGTAAAAATCATTTTAATTTCTCACATTTTCTGAGATATACGTAAGTATTATAATCTGAAACGTCACCGATATTCCCACAAAACAAGACCCGCAATGATTTTCGAAAGAGACATTTTTTTTTCAAAAATCGTAAAAGGTTGTTTAAATGCAACGCAAAGTTTTTTAGAATTACGTTTGGACAGATTTGAAATGATATTAAATAATATTAATTAATCCACACAATTAAAACTTTCTTGCTAACTTTTGGAAAACGATTTAGTAGAGTTTTATTAGATTGTAATTACCATAATGCATATCGACATGTTTTCTTATGCATAGCAACAGCTAAGGTTAACAAAAAATTGTAATTGGGCAATAATTATCATGCAATTTGAAATAGAATACCAACTCCATTTGGAAATTTTGTTTTATTTGTTGAAATTTACATTTGGCAAGGAAGTATGCTGGCAAGAATCGGCGGTATAGGGAAGTAGGTCACCTAATATAGATAAAAATACACATAATGCACTAAAAAGGTTAGTAAATAGGTCTCGGGTATCCGTTTCCACAATGGAAACGTCAATGGGAGTTTTATCGCGGGAGTCATTTCCGGAAATTCGACAAAACAGCGCGAAAAATGGCCCATATTAATCACATTATCTACGAGTAGTGTCGGAACTTACCATCCAAAAAAGCGTTTCGTTGGCAAAATTCGTATACGTATCGATCGTTGACAGGACGCTAAATATTAGGCAGACTAATACTAACATAAATCTGAAAAAGACATACAATTAGTGAACGTCAGGTGATCAAAAGTTTGGCATGGTTAGTAACTACAATAGTTTTCGATAAAGGCAAACTGGTTTTTCCCAAACTATTAAAACACGAATTTATTGAAACTGCAAATAACTAATTAGGTTTGTTCTAAATTATTGCTGACTGCGGATTTCCTCAGGCTCATTCTATTAGCACATTGTAAGCAGATTATATTAAAATACATATTTTAACAACGGCACAAATTCTACAAAATATCTATTTGGCGGTAAATATTAGTTTTTAAAGTTCCTAAGAAAGTTCTAAGCAGTTTCGATTTAACTGCGGGCGTAAAGTTGGAAACACACAAGTGGGAGATTTGCAAACTTTCGAAATCTTCGCGGCTTCTTGACTTAAAAGGACATGTTGCGTTGCTATCGTACTGGAGACCACCATGTAACTTTTGCAAAATGATTGGTATTCTTTTGTCTGAAAATATAGAAATTTGTACAACAAATAGTAATTCTGTTTAAACCAGATTGTCCTATTTCCCAACGTGTTTGAGTAACGGTAAATAATTTATATTCGATGTGGACATTGGGAGCACTTATTTTAGCGTATATCTTGCGCACCCTGTACAACTTTGACAACAAAGGTCTCTTTTTACGAATTTTCAGTTGCGGCTGGAAACTGAAAACTAAGCTACTCTCAGAAAATTTCACGACAGAATCAAATTTTGTTCCCATTTGCCTTGTTCCATAGGAAAGTCAAAAACTGAAAATCGTGAAAAAACGGCGGGCGCCGCGATAGGATTGCTGCCTTTTTCCATATGCCCTATAAACTGAAAAAGGAAGCAAACTGCAAGTTTTCAGCTCAAACGGTTCAGAATTTATTCGTCATTTAATTGTAGGTTTACAGAGAACAGAGAACAGACATGTCCGCAGATATGCGGATGTCCCAATTGCATCTATTATTACCCAGCGGGTAGAAAATAGAAAGGGAAGCACTCCACTAGCACTGAAAGTTTAACTACTTTCAAAAGCAAATATTTGCACCATTTTGCAAAACAAGAGAGAAATCAGAGAAAAAAGGTTGATATACAAAGTACTGGTTCGGAGCTGTTATGGATAATCATTAATAAGAGAAGACTTGTCGTGGTTATTTTCTATGTTCCACCGAATGTTAACGTAGGTTTTGTGCTATCTGATCTGAGTCGTATGGTGGAATTGGTAGTCCCGGATTCTAATTCGGTAGTTTTTGTAGGTGATATAAATCCTATATTCAAATTCAGGTGATTCATGTTTCTTATTATATTTATTAAACAAGTTTGACAGGTATCAAGTTGCTGCAGATCATATCGCAATTACATCGGAAACTTTAATAGATGTAATTTGGGTTAGTAATCGCTTTTATTTCGTTTAGCTGTATACTTTCACGTTTTGATCATTATACTCCGTGTGAACAATAAAAAGGACGAAACAAAATTTGATGTACATCACACGAAATATAAAAGAAATATAAAAAGCATAATATAGTGCACAATAAGTATTTGAATTGGATAAGTGTAGAAATCAGCAAACAATGTTCTTTGTCCAAATAACCTGCATTATTAAATGCAAAACAGTAGCGACTCGTGAACGTGGTTTTGAGAAATTACTTACATTGTTCTGCCAATTGAATGAGAGAGTTAAGGATACACTAATTTTATTTTACAGATAGACAAGATAATCCGAGTAATTTTCAAGATCCGGAATTAATAAACGAATTTTTCCTGAGCCTGGGCCCAGTCATTTTTATTTTCTAAGCATACAGATGTGCGAAGGCAATAAAATCTTACCTTGGGTGATGCTATTGATTGCAGAATGTAAAATTAGTGATTCCTTATCGTTGGGAATATATTATACTATATTGTGCAACAAGACAAGAATACATTCACTGACATGACCGTCAGAATTGACAAACGTCAAAATTCAAGCCGTGCGGTAAAATCTCCGAAAAAATCCGATTGCTCCCAAACCAGTGCGGTAATATCCTGGACATGCCCTAACGGACTCGAATCCGTGGTAGAAAAAACTCACGTGGTAACGTAAAGTGGCGCATTCCGCAAGCTAGATCGGTGTATAATTAAGTATCATAGGAGTCGAAAAATATGTTTTTCTACTCCCGTCTGTAAAATGCCTAATTACCCACCGATCTACCGTGCGGGAAGCGTCACTTAACCACGTCAGTTTCTTTTCCCACGAATCCGAGCCACTTCGGACATTTCCGGGATGTTACCGTACCGGTTTGGGAGCAACCGGATGTTTTCGGAGATATTTCCCACGCCTTCAATTTTGACGTTTGTCAATTCTGACGGTCATGTCAGTGAATGTATTCGTGTTGTTTTGCAAAAATGTACCTAAAAACTAACGGTCCTAGAAAAAGTATAGTATCCAACACGTTCGGTAAACTTTTTAACCCACTCGCTTATTAAACACTCGCTCCGCTTGTGTCAAATAAACTCGTGAGTCAAATGCCGTTTACCGCACTTGTAGCACAATATACTATTTTCTACTCCCGTCTGTAAAATACCTAATTATCCACCGTTCTAGGGTGCGGGAAGCGTCACTTTACCACGTCAGTTTCGTTTCCCATGAATCCGAACCACTTCGGACATTTCCGGGATTTTACCGGGAGCAATCGGATGATTTCGGAGGTATTTCCCACGCCTTGAATTTGACGTTTGTCAATTCTGACGGCCATGTCAGTGAATGTATTCGTGTTGTTTTGCGAAAATGTACCCAAAAACTAATGGTCGTTGAACAAGTATAGCATGCAACACGTTCGGTAAACTTTTTAAGTCACTCGTTTATTAAACATTGGCTCCGCTTGTATCAAATAAACTGTTGAGTCAAATGCCGTGTACCGCACTTGTTGCATAATATACAAATTTTCCAAATTTCGTTATCGGTAAGACATTTTCCTCTGATTGGAAAACTGAGAATGTTCGTCTGACTCCCAAAGCAACCCGAACCATGTCTCACATTTATATCCCATATGCATATTCAGTCTTTAATAAAATTTTGGAAACAGTTGCAGCCGCTAAAATTAAAATTTTGTAGAAACCAACAACATTTTACCGACTGTATAGTCAAGCTTTCGTGCTCAACGACCCAAATAGCCTTCGTATAAGGTAGTTAATGACATTTCAAAAGCAATTGATAAATCTTAAGTTCCAATTTTCGTTTTGCCTGACCAAAGCCAAGCTTGATATGTTAAATTTTTGATCCGCTATTAGGCTCCAGAGAACTTTCGCCAGTGATGTATTATTTCCTTCCTTTAAAGAAACAAATTCGGGTGTTCCACAGGTGCCGATTATTTTCTCCATATTTATTTTTGATACACAGAATGTTTCGAAATATCATATGTTTCATTCATTATTCATTAATATTTTTCATTTCCAAAAGAAAATGTTTTAAATGCTATTAACTAAATAAATTATGATCTTGTTAAAGTTATCGAATACTCGAGACGAAGGTACTGTGAATTTGGGGCGAAGAAGCAAAATTTAATGAAATTTCGTGTAAAGAGAAATAAAATAAAATATTTGAAAATAAATTTAATTTAAATTCCCGACCTAAAGGGCTATTTGACTATATCTTATTAAATTGTATCGAAAACGCAGTCGTTTATTATTGATTCGATATCATAAAAATACCAACCAAGTCGAAGTCGTTATCTCAGATTTTTTGGATTGTAGAGATGTGTAGTAATGGGAATTGTCTCATATGTGGCGCCGTTGTGTATATAATGGGCGTCCTAGTAAAGGTAACGAGTTTGAACAAATTTGAAAAAAAATATTAAAATTCTGAAATGGCCGCCTGGGGGTCTAATTGTTATGTTGAATGATAACCATGATTAAAGTGAGTACTATTTAAAATTTCAATGATTTTTTAATGCTTTATATCTGCAAGAAAAGTGCAAAAAACGCTTAAGGCATTTGAATACACTTGGAGTAGTTCAGTTGTTTTCCAATATCTTCATATTATCACTTATTTCTTTATTAAAATTTTGAATTAATCACGAATTCTGTCACTAATAAATTGTTGCCGACGAAATCACTTTTTTAGCTATTGGCGTATTTAAGTAGTAAAATGTCGAAAACCATTTAAAAAACGAATAAAACATTATAATAATGATATAAACTAATTCATTTGTGATTATTATGATTGTATGAAAACGAAATTTGGTTACTTTTGGTCATGTTCTTATTTGATGCTCGTCAAAGTTTCTTGGTTACCTACCATTTTACTTACATTAATTTTATTAAAGTGTAAAGTGTGAAGAAGTTGACGAGTTAGGAACGAAGAAAAATACTTATTGTTGCAATACATATACTACTCAAATAATTCACGAATTAGTAAAATTGGTGAGCCTTCTAAAATTTATTAGTTTTGGTTAATTGGCTAAAGCTAATCATTAATGAGAAACTTAGGGACAATAACAAAATAATTGAGAAAGGGGAAAGTACATCAAAACCTAGTAATATTATTCCATTTATTCTTATTTCTGAAAATATATATTTTTTGCGATTGTCAGAAAACAATCAATAGCGTCACTCATTGATTGATAGCCTAGGTAGAGTCCCTTTTAATAACCCGAAGTTTGTAAAAAAAAATGCGTTTAGATATGGATATTTATTTAAGAAAATGTACGAACGCCCCCCACACTTGCAGACGAAACAACTTCAAAGAGCATTAAACAAAATCAATTTAAATTTAACCTAGCTTTAACTTTAACTTAATACCATAACTATGGTTAATGTTAACTAACCATTTTCGTAGAAACAGAGTTTTTAAATTCCAGAAAAAATTACTCCCTCTGGTGTCCATTTCAGAAACAAGAAAATAATTTTCAGCACTTCCGTTTCACCGATTTTTTCTTTTTTTTTGAAATTTCTATGCCACTCCGGTTTCCTAATATCGTACCCTTTGCCGCTACTAGGACACCCGATATATTGAAAAGTTCTCGGTAAATTATCA